GGGCTGGGGATTCGAACCTGCCACCTTAGGTGTACGTGGCTGGCGCCCCAGCCGGTTGAGCTATAGGCGCCGAGCCACCTTGAATTTTTAAAGAATGGAAAGAAGTCAACTTGAGAATGAATTCTCAAGCATGTACTTAAAATGTACACAATCTGTACTGATTCAAAGAGACTATATTTAGAAAATAAAATTTAAGGGACATTTTGTTACGAAACCAGGATGGCCTGGAATAGTCTTGTCTGAATGAATACAGGGCTATTCCATTTTTACTTTAAGGGTGGCAAGACAAAGGAATCTAACATACTAAGTGCTCAGACACTGTTTTGGGTACCTGGGAAACTTCAGTGAATATAGTCATAAATGCTGTGAAATAACAGAAAAATGACTAGACTGATTTTGTCTCAGTTCTTCTTACTTGCTTCTCAGAAGCCAAACCCATAAAGATTAGACTCATATGGTCTAATAATACTTTCTCCAGATTCTTTTCCATTGTGCTATAAACTGGTTGGAATTTGCACCTCTGCAACAAATCTTCCTTGCTGAAGCACTTGCCAAACCAACTATACTAATTGTAACACCAGAGGTCTGCTCCAGCACCTGGACTTGGACACAAATGTAAGTTGGGCATATGCTGCTTGCTTAGGTAACTGCTGTGGTTGGCTCGATTTGGGAAAATGCTTGGTGTGAGCCTGGCAGTTGATGGTGGATCCCAACAAAGAGAAGTTTAAATCAAGCTTGTTTTGACATGAAAATGCAAATTTATGAACATAAACATTTTTCATTTGGATGTAGATTTTGATATGTGATCAGCCCGTAGAAGCAAAGAACTTCATCATATGCAAGTGTTCTTGTTTTTCAATACACTGACGCTGGGCCTATATGGTCACTGCCATAGTAATGGAGTTTAAATATGGCAGGAAGTTAAGCCAATCTAAGACAGGAATCATATTAAAAAACTTCATCCTTTAACTATGCCATACATAGTTTTGAGAAATATTTGAGAAAAATTCTGAGAAATATTTTCATGGCTGTCTGGGTGGAATATACAGAACAGCGCTATGTAAGCTATTATATGTTACCCTGTACAGTGATGGGACTGGAACGTGGAGACAAAATTACTGGGACAGTGGAAGCAGTTTTAGGAAATCCTTGAGTGAACTGCCTCTAAATCCCACACTTGACAAATTCTATACTCCAGGACACCTAAATGCTTCATACAATCTGTGCATGTTATGAGGTAATTACAAGACTCACGCTGATACCATGTTAATAACAATCTTTTCGTTGACATTGAATATATATATGAGAGAAACTAAAGGATTTTCCAGTTATCAATCATCCCAACATGTGTACCTGATTCGGAAGGATTATACCAGCTCTAGCCATATCCTTTATGAATCCATGTTATTTCTTAGGCCTAAGTCTGGTTTGGTTTTTTTTTGAGACAGAGCCTCAAGCTGTCTTTTTTTTTTTTTTTTTTTGAGACACAGTCTCACTTTGTTGCCCTCTGTAGAGTGCCACGGCATCACAGCAACCTCAAATTCCTCAGCTTAAGCTATTCTTTTGCCTTAGCCTCCCAAGTAGCTAAGATTACAGGTGCCTGCCACAATGCCCAGCTATTTTTTTTTTTTACTGTTGTTGTCATTGTTGCTTAGCAGGCCTGGGCCAGGTTCAAACCCAAGAGCCCCGGTGCACGTGGCTGGTGCCCTAACCACTGGGATAAAGGCACCAGGCCAGGCCTAAGTCTTTTTAATGTGGCTCCTAACAAATTTAAGACTATGTGTATGTGAATCACATTATATTTCTATTGGATAGTGCTTCTCTAAATGTTGGAAGTGTCATAGGGTTTCATCTTGCTGCTCCCCACAAGCCTTGCCATCAGAGTAAACAATACCATTATCCCTGCAATGCCTCATATTAGTCGTAAAGAAATGTATAAGTATTTTCAGACAACAAGAGTGTCCACAGGACAAGATGAGAAAGAATTACTGATGGGGTAATAAGCAAACAGAGACTGAGCAAGACTGATCAGCAGCTCAGATTTTAAAACTGGCTGATTACTAAGCCCTACACATTGGATTACTCTGAAAAACAACTCTGCCCATTACAGTTTCCAGTTTCTCCTTTGGAATGTGTGTGTGAAGTTCAGGAAACCTTCCTCAACTGGCTCCCTTGTTTTTCTTTCTCTTTGTAAAAGCTTACAGTTCATAATGGTGATGACATAAGCAAGTTCCTGAACTCTTGCAGGCCCTAAAATTCTAGTTAAGTCATGATGGTTTGAGAATACAAGCACTGTTCCTCTAAAGAGAACTAGTCTAATAAATATACTGCCTCTGAGCATAATGCCAATTACATCAATCCAATAAAGAGACTGAAATCTGGCACTAGGAAGAAACTTAGCAATATAATCTGTCACATGTGTTAAATAAGAAAACTGAAGTTGACAAAACTGAAAGACGTGTTTTCGTGCAGGTCCTCAAAACAAAACAAAGGATGGGATTTTAGAAAAGGTGTACGTGTAAATCAAGATTCAATCTATAAATTGAAAACTCCGGAACAATCAAAACTACTAACCATTCTATAAGCACTCCTTTCAAGACGTTGACCATCTTTTCCCAGTCGGAAGGTGCAGATGACCTCAAGATTGCTAATAAAAAGGATAAGATGACACACAATTCAAAAACATAAACTTCAATATACCTAGGGAATTTACCTCTGAAATGAGGCAAATATTAAATGTCAAGGTTAAAGAGGTCTATGACAGACAAAACATTAAAAACAGATATTCTCGGGAGGCGCCTGTGGCTCAGTGAGAAGGGTGCTGGCCCCATATTCTGAGGGCGGCGGTTCAAACTCGGCCCTGTCCAAACTGCAACAAAAAATAGCCAGGCGTTGTGGCGGGCGCCTGTGGTCCCAGCTACTCGGGAGGCTGAGGCAAGAGAATCGCTTAAGCCCCAAGAGCTGGAGGTTACTGTGAGCTATGATGCCACAGCACTCTACCGTGGGTGACAAAGTGAGACTCTATGTCTAAAAAAAAAAAAATTCCAATCTCTTAACAAAATTAAAACGAATCTAGTTGGAATAAAAAATAATGAAAAAAACTTAATTGCAAACAAATCCTACCTACAGCATTAACTCCACAACGATGTCCCCAACCCAGGTGTAAAACACGCTCATTATTAAAAGACTTTCTTTTCCCTTTCAGGAGAATTATACAAGCCTAGTTCACGGGAGGCAGGAACCACAGCACGGTAGTTCTGAACGGGGCCACAAAAATTACATACCAAGGCCAACCTCATTGCACAAATGAAAAGACCGGCTGAAGAGATTAAGCCATAGCTCTTGGTCAAGAAAAAAAAGGGGAGATGAGCCAGATCTCCCGAACTTCTGTTCCTTAGCTAAATGAACCACGTCCCCGAGGCTCTAAGCTCGAAGTAAACTACCGCGTCCGCCAACTTAATCCTTTCACTTCCAAACCTGGGCGCCAGGCGCGCCGCCCTCTCTGAAACCCAAGACTGAATTAGGGCGGACAGCAGCCCGTCCCCTCCAGGAAGGGCCCGGAAAGGCGAGGGACTGCCTCGTAACTCAGCCCTCGGAGCACAGGCTTCTAGCATTGCCTTCTGTCTTGCCTCCAGCCCCCCTCAGTCCTCCGTGCACCCCACTTTCCACAATCACTGTGACGCTCACCTCACACCTCCGCCTACAGACCGGCTGCGCCTCGCGTCGCCGACAGAGTGCGCCTGCGCCGACACGTCATCGCGCCAGGGACGCGCTCAAGGGAGGAGCGTGCGGAAGCGGTGGGCGTGGACCGGGCAGAGGAGGCGGAGTCACGTGCTGACCGCCGCTGGGTGGCGGGAGGGGGTGGGAGCCGTGGAGGTTGTGGGGGGCGCCCCCGCTGAGGGGGTCCCGGGTGAGCGGTTGGGGGCCGGCCCAGCCCGCGAGTTGACAGGTAGGAAGGGGAGGCCGGGCTCGTGGGGGCGGATGACGGTGTCGCGCAGCTGGGCGCGGCTGGCAGTGGAGGGGGGGACCGGGCACGGCCGGGGCGCCCCTGTGAGGGCGCGCGGCCCCCGATCGACCCTCTGACCCGCCGCGGGGCGTGAGGGCCTCTCTCTGGTTCTCGCGAGCCTGACTTTCCCGGTCGCTGCCCTCCTCTGGTTGCTCTTGAGCCCCTGCGGAGAGCACCCACCGGTTCATTCCTCCTGGAAAGAGAATGCCAAGGAGAAGCAAACAGCCGCAGTCGAACCTGCGCCTTCCAGATCACCGCTTCTTGCTCTCTCTCTGACCAGGGAGGTGGAATAGATTGAATGCTCATAGGTCTCTAAACCCAGCAACGGTCATTTTAAAGCGAAAAATCCCAGGAGGTTCTAAAATTAATCCCTTTTCCCAATTCTAATCTGTGGTTTAATAGACCACACAGTAGTCATTGGAACTAGTTGAGATATGAGGTTCTTGATTTCTATTCCTTAGGTTTAATTGTACTTCCCTAATTAAGCTCATGCTGCTTTATTATATCGTGTGTGCATGTGCTCTCTTTGGAACCCTGCTCTTCCATTTATTTACCTCTTTAGATCCCTCATGTCTTTCCCAACTGGTGGAAATATTGTTGCACTCTCTTTTTTACAAATTGTCTCCATACTTGTTCCCAAGTATCTTTTTTCTACCCCACCCCCACCCCCCTACAGTCTCACTCTGTCGCCCAGTCTAGCGTGCAGTTGCGTCGACCCAGCTTACAGCAACCTCAAACTCGTAGGTTCAAGCAACCCTCCTGCCTCAGCCTACGGAGTAGCTAGAACTACTGGCGCCGCCACACCATGTCTGGCTAATTTTTGTATTCTTAGTAGAAACAGGGTCTTGCTTTTGCTCAGGCTGGTCTCCAACTCTTGGGCTCAAGGGAGCCTCGCCCTTCAAGTCTGATCTTCTAAAAACCTTTAGTTTTCAATATTGTTATGAATAGTATTTTTTATTATTAAAATTCCTAGTGAATTACTATGTGTATATAGAAGGATTTTTTTATTCAGAGATTTTCCTGGCTAAGGCGCCAGTCATACACACCTAAGGTGGCGGGTTCAAATCCAGCCTGGGCCCGCCAAACAACAATGATGGCTGCAACCAAAAAATAGCCGGATGTTGTGGCCGGCGTCTGTGGTGGTCCCAGCTACTTGGGAGGCTGAGGCAGGAGACTCGCTTGAGCCCAGGAGTTGGAGGTTGCTGTGAGCTGTGATGCAACGGCGCTTTACCCAGGGATACAGCTTGAGGCTCCAGCTCAAAAAACAAAAACAGAGATCTGCCTGAAGGCAATTTCTTACACCCCCTAACCAAAATAACCTTTCTAGTCAGTCATTCCTTATCACATCACCATCTGGTATCTTCTACCAGGTTTTAGTACCTCTGTGCCCCCATAAAATTTGCTACTTGTTCACCATTGTAACCTCAAGTGTCTAGAGTAGTGTCTAGCACATTTCAGGTACACAGCAATATTTGGTGAATGAATGGTTTTAAATCTGGGTAATTTGGAGAAACAGGAAAAAAGTGAAGTGAAGTGAAGATGAGAGGAAAACCTGTTCAATTTGAGAGGTGGTGTTCAGCCTACTCAGAAGGTCTTTAGTGCACAAGCAACACGTGGAACTCAAAAGTGACATTCAATGTGAAGAACCAATGAGATGGTCAAGGAGGAGAACACAGGCAAAAAGAACAAGAAAGGACACTTTGGGCCAGGGCACCTGTGGCTCAGGTCTGTAATCCTAGCACTCTGGGTGGCCAAGAAGGGCAGATTGTTTGAGCTCAGGCATTTGAGACTACTTTGAGCAAGAGTGAGACCCCGTACCTCCTCAAAGTAGAAACACTAGCTGGGTGTTGTGGTGGGCACCTGTAGTCTCAGCTATTTGGGAAGCTGTAGCACAAGGATCACTTGAACCCAAAGAATTTGAGGTTGCTGTGAGCTATGAAGACTCCACAAAACTCTGTCCAGGGGAATCCAGTGAGACTGTCTCAAAAAAAAAAAAAAAAAATCAAACTAAAGCTGGGTAGTCTTTTAGGAAGAACACTATACTACTCTAATGAAACACATAAAAGAAGACCCATGTAAATGGTGAGATGTACCGTGTTCATGGACAAGAAGCCTCAGAATCTAAAAGATGTCAGTTTTCTCTAGGTCTACAAATTCAAGGCAATGTGGATTAAAATCATTATAAAGTTTTACAGAACTAGATGTGCTGAACCTAGAATTTATTATATGAGAAGGCAAAGGACAGAAAACAGCTAAGTCAGTTTCTGAGAAGAAAAATAAGGTCTCTGTCTGCCAGATGTAAAGCTTAATACATAGTACAAAGCTGTGATAATTAGGACAGTGTGATCATGGTTCAGGGGTAGAAAAGTAGACTCAGGAAATAAAATAGCCTGCAAACACATCCATGTGTATCTGGGAGCTTAGCATACTATACCGAGCAAGGGAAAAAGCATGGAGTATTCCATAAATGATACTGAGTTATGTGGTATCCATATAGATTACAGACAAAGATTAGATCTTCGGACAATTCACAACAGTAATTTCCAGATTAAAGACCTAAATATGAGAGGCACATCTGGAAGACAGAAAAAATACAGGAGACTATTATCTCTAAGAAAGATTTCTTTTTCTGTTTGTTTTATTATGGTAAAATACACATAAGAATTACTATTTTAGGCTCGGTGCCTGTAGCGCAGTGGTTATGGCACCAGCTACATATACCAACAGTGGTGGGTTCGATCCCGGCCTGGACCAGCTAAGCACCAATGACAACTGCAACAAAAAATAGCTGGGCATTATGGCAGGCGCCTGTAGTCCCAGCTACTTGGGAGACTGAGGCAAGAGAATGGCTTAAGCCAATGGATCACGACCTTTTTGTAACAATGAAAATACACTGTGGCATTAGGAAGGTTGAGAACCACTGGCTTAAGCCCAAAAGTTTGAGGTTGCTGTGAGTTGTGATGCCATGGCGTTCTACCTAAGGCAACATAGTGAGAGACTCTGCCTCAAAAAAATATGTATATAAAAAGAATTACCATTTTAATCATCTTGAAGTTGGTGTTCAGTGACATTCAGATTGTTGCAAAACCATCACTACCATCCATCTCCTGAACTTTTTAATCTCTCTGAGAAGGATTTCTTAAGCTACAAAGCACCATTGAGGATGTTACTGCATTACTTCAAACCAGAGATGATGGTGGCTTAAACTGGATAAAATGGCAGTGAAGATGGAGAAAAGTGGCTGGATTTGGAATATGTTTTGATACTAGAGAACAGAAATTTTGCATGGTTTGGATATAGGGTGAGGGGAAAACGAGGAATTAAGGGCAACACCGAAGGGTTTTGCATGATTTATGAGCAAACAAAGGCCATTTACCATTTGGTTGATTGTGATAGAGAAGATAAGTTGAGGAAGAGTTTCAGGAGGAAAAGAATTTTGGACAGTTGTTTGAAAGACCTATTGGACATCCAAGTGGACTTGTTCAATAGCCATTCGTATGTGAGTCTGGAAAGGTGGCTAGAGGTACTTTGAGATCACTAGCATATAGATACTTAAAGCTGGTATGTTAAGATTACAGTCAGCTGTATTACACAGATATATAAAAATGGCTTAAATATGCATCTGATTACATAGGTAGGCAGAGCACTGCTCATATGGAAGCAGCTCCATGATCACTGGGCTTGAATTCTTCTGTCCTGTACTTTGCTATCCTTAGCATGATAGCTGATCGTTAAGGTGGTTGCTTTCACTCCGTTGTCACTTGCTTATTCTAGTAAGAGGGAAGAGAGAAGGATGAAGAAAAGTACACACTCATTTTAAGGACACTTTACAGAATTTGCACATGATACATTGATTCATATTCATTCCATTAGCCAATTCTTAGTGACCACACTTAACTATAAGGAAAGAAAGGTGGTGTTCAGGTTTTATTAAGAATGAAAGGGTGAGGCTCGGCGCTTATAGCTCAACCAGCTAAGGCGCCAGCCATGTACACCTAAGGTGGCGGGTTTGAATCCCCAGCCCGGACCCGCCAAACAACAATGACGGCTGCAACCAAAAGATAGCTGGGCGTTGTGGCGGGTGCCTGTGGTCCCAGCTACTTGGGAGGCGGAGGCAGGAAACTTGCTTGAGCCCAGGAGTTGGAGGTTGCTGTGAGCTGTAATGCCACGGCACTCTACCCAGGGGGACAGCTTGAGGCTCTGTCTCAAAAAAAAAAAAAAAAAAAAAAGAATGAAAGGGTGAAATGATATTTAATTTCAATCTGCTTTCTTCTTTAACCCAAGCAGTAAAGCTATCATTAAGACCCTAGTGACCAGCTCAGTGCCTGTGGCTCAGGTGGCTAGGGCACCAGCCACATACACCTAGGGTGGCGGGTACAAGCCCAGCCTGGGCCCACCAAACAACAATGACGGCTGCAACCAAAAAATGGATGGGTGTTGTGGCAGGCACCTGTGGTCCATCCCAGCTACTTGGGAGGCTGAGGCAGGAGACTCGCTTGAGCCCAGGAGTTGGAGGTTGCTGTGAGCTGTGATGTCACAGCACTCTGCCTAGGGGGATGGCTTGAGGCTCTGTCTCAAGGAAGAAAAAAAAAAAAAAAGACCCTAGTGACCTCCTTGTTATTAATTTTCTTTTTAATTTCTTTTTTCTTTAGAGACAGGGTTTTACTCTGTCACTCTTGCTGTAGTGCAGTGGCACAATCATAGCTCTCTGCAGCCTTAA